TCCTTTTATAATGTTTTTCATAATTTGGAGATTGTGGAAATTTAAAATCCACCAAGATAGAATGAGAAGATGGGATCTAGAGGGGCCATCCAAATGTTGGTGTTATGAAAGACCTCAACAAGAGACACTAGCTCATGTGTTTTTGAAATCTGATTCAGCTAATGAGACATGATCCTATACTTTGTTGACATCTATTTACCCAAACATTTTAGATAAAATATCATGAAAATTTGTACGTTTCGATTGTATAGGCTGGTATAGACAAGTTAGTCCAAACACCAATGAGTTTATATTATCTTGTGGTGCAAGAAAATATTCAAAGAAAAAAAAATTGTCCAAAGAACTAGAGGAGGAAGTAAGTATTTTGATATAGCGTATTGAGAAATTTAAAATTGTTGAGGCAAATATAATGATCATAGTTGAAAGAAATACAAAGTGAACATGTAAAAAAAAGTTGTTTAATGTTTTTATTATTGACGTATATTTTGATGTTGTACTTATTGTCTAATTTATACTCATAATTTTGTCAGAAATTTCTTTTGCACACATGAATTTTGCGCTTAATGTAGGTACAATCTCTTTATCATTAGTTTATAAACATCAACTACCAATCAAATATTTTATCATCTTCATCAATAGAATTGTCACTGTGAAATGAAATATTGCATTCTGCTATCGATTCACTTGTAATATTGCATTCTACAAAATCAATCATATTTAACACCATAATATAATGCAATATTCTATTCTACATTGATACTTCTATTGATGAAGAGGATAAAGATAATTGATTGAAAATTGGTGTTTATATGGTAAATTATGTTGAGGTTATCTCATCATTTTAAGTGTAAGATTCATGTGTACGAAAAATAATTCTTTCAAAATTAAGAGTAATGAGTTAGACAATAAGTACAGTACCAAAATCTATGCCAAGGATAGAAATATTAAATAAATATTATAATCACTTATCTGTTCATTTAGTACTTCTCTTAACTGTGATACAAGAGTTATTCTATCTGTCTCAATAATTTTAAGATTTTCAATACATTGTTTCAAAATATTTTCTTCCTCCTTCAGTTCTTGAACAAGATTTTCTCTTTGAATATTTTGCTGCAACACTAGTGATATGCTCTCAATTTACAAGTAATGAATTTTGAGAGAATAAGACTAAAAAAATTTCTGATCTATCCGTCTGTCAAGGACTAAATCGTATAATTTTATTAATTTCACTGGTGTTTGAGCTAACGTGTATATACTAGCCTACACAACTGAAAAATACAAATTTCTATGATATGCTGTCCAAAAAGCTGAGGTAAAATAGGAGTCAGGAGCCGAAAGGGCAAACAAAATTATCAAAAATTTCAAAAGGGCACATTAAATTTTTTTAAAACCAAAAGGGCAAAATCGCTCCTGATGAAGCGATTTTCCTCTGACACAATGACAAAATTGCTGCTTTTTTTTTATTATTAAAAATCGCTGCCACAGCAGCGATTTTAAATCAGAATTTTTTTTTCCCTTACACATCATTGCAGGGGCAGCGATTTTCATGCCTATTGTTAATTATTAATAATATAAAAATGATAAACAAGACGGACAGTATACTCAATAAAATTGTTGAAGCATGAGAAAAATTGAATTATATATCATAAATAATAATAAAAGAATATTAAATTTTACTGTTGTCGTATGATTTTCAAGAGTGATTTTCTTCTGACAAAAGTTGTCGTACGATTTTCAGGAGCGATTTTCTTCTGACAAAAATTGTCGTACGTTAAAAAAAATAAAAATCGCTGCTAAGATCGCTGCCTTAGCAGTGATTTTCTCAAAAAATAAAAAAACTTTTTCTTCAAAATCGCTGTTATTTTCTAAAAAAATATATCTTTTTTTCTTGATTTTGGTTAAGAATTAAAAAAAAAAAAAGTTTTTTCTTTAATTTAATATTCTTTAATTATAATTTATGATATATAATTCAATTTTCCTCATGCTTCAACAATTTTATTGAGTATATTGTCCGTCTTGTTTATCATTTTTATATTATTAATAATTAACAATAGGCATGAAAATAATAGCACTAGGCATAAAAAACGATGCCCCTGCAGCGATGTGTAAGGAAAAAAAAATCTGTATTTTTTAATAATTTTTTTTTTTTTTTTTACAAAATCACTGCCCTTGCAGCGATTTTGCCCTTTTGATTTTTTTTAAAAATTGATGTGCCCTTTTAGAATTTTTGACAATTTTTTTTGCCCTTTTAGCTCTGGACTCGGTAAAATAGATGCGAACAAATTATGTCAATTCGAATTTAAATTCAAAATCTTCATATTGTTAAACTAATACCTCAAACACTAAGCATCCCCTGGGATAAAAATTTGGTATCTTGTTTGGTTGTCATGTTTGGGATAACTTATCCCATAATTTATATCATAATGATGGATAAATTATCCATATATCTGGTGGGATAAGTTAATCTAGGATAACTATCTCAGGATAATTAATCTTGAGATAACTTGTTTCCAACCAAACGACTCCTAAGTAGTTCTGTCAGGAGCACTTTAACTTGGATCCGGCTCCTCTACATTTTCCCCAAGTTCTATCTTGGATTGGAGACACATGTCATAGTTTAGAATTAATGGTTGAGATTTAATTGATTAAAGTAAAGTTCTTACCATAATTATTGAATTCCATATATTTGCTTCTTAAATATTTTTGCAATCCATTATATTTTCCCTAAATATATTTTGAAAAAATTCTTTACTGCCCTGCATACATATTTAAAACTTTTACTAAATATTTTTACTTTTTTTGAAAAAAATTATAATACAGTTAAACGTTTTTAATAATCTAATAGAGTATTAAGAGCTACAATGTTTATAGAGCAAATATGGACTCCATTTAGGGGAAAAGAAAGAATTTAAAGTTGAGTGACAACATTTATTTTACTCTTAAATTTTTTTTAAAAAAGTCAAGTCACAATTTTTAATTTTTTATTTGGCAAATATTATTTGAGAAATGGAAAACTTTTGGGAAAAAAAAGTAAAATATCAGCAAAAAAATTTACTCAAGTAATTGAGAAAAGAAATTCTTTTAATTATATTTAAGAAAAATATAATGTAAATCTAAAATTGTTGGATTGCAAAAATATTTAAAAAGCAAATATATGAAACTAAATAACTATATAAGACTTTGTTTTAATTAATTAGATCTCAATCATTAATTTTAAACTATGACATGTGTCTCCAATCCAAGCTAGAACTTGGGGAAAATGGAGAGGAGCCGGATCCCTTTAACTTAGTACGTCTCTATATAATCAAAGAAATGTTGTAACGAGGATCATTGATGAAGTTGTCTTTTGATCTTTTTTTAGCTTTGTAAGTAATAGTTTAAAACCTCCTCTAATTTTTGTTTTTCCCCTTTTTTAAAGTTTATCTACAATTTTCAGTAAATTATTTGTAGCTATGTATTTTTCACTACAAGTTACATTTGTTTTATATATCAAATTATTATAAAATAAAAGTGACACAGAGAGCGTGCTATCATGAAAGAAAAGCAAAATAAAAAATTATAAAGAGAATCAATGAGAAAGAAAGTTTAATACACAAATTGAACTCAATTGATCATCGAAAAATCAAGTGGATAAAAGAAATGTAAAACAATTGTGTTAATTAATATTAAACGACTCGTTTTGTCGTGTTTTTTTCTTGAATTCTCAAGAAATTCAATAAAAAACTTATGTTGCTCTATCTCTACAAGAACTAATTGATCCACAATAGAAAAACTCTAAAAAGTGAAATATAGTTTAACACCTTATGTACAAATCTTTCGAGCGAGAAAAATATTGCCTCGAGACTTAATACTTTCGGAGAATTTCTTTAAAAAACTCACAAGAACATGACTATCCAATTATATATGCTATGAATCTGAAAGATACTTACGATGCAAAATGGTATTTTCACATAACGTTAAAATGTAAAATTTGTTTTTCACTCTATAACTCAAAGAATAGAGGGATATGTTGGCATAACGTTATTAGCAAAATTAAGAAAAATAAAAGTTGAAAGGACAAAAATCATCAGAAAGTTAAAGATTTTTCATCTTTTAAACTTGTTTTGGAACATAAATGTAGGTTGACAAAGATATAGATTCTTCCTTGAATTTGTTCTGAAAAGTCGAATACACTCTTACACTATCATGACGATATATAAGACACTTGTATTACTTAAAAAATGAATTTAACATCACCCTTAAAGTTGACGTGATAAAAAATTAATTATAAAATAAATACTCTTTATGTCCCTAATTACTTGTCCACTTTTGAATTGACACACTTATTAAGAATACAATGATTGACATAGTGAGTTTACTATTTTACCCCTATTAATTATGAAATTGATGAATTAAAAGTAATTGATGATTGTTGTGGTAATGATGATTAATGGTGATTATTATAAATTGTGACTAGTGACAGTTATAGTAGTTTGGCAATATATATTGATGAATGGTGATAACGATTATTGTGGTTATAATGAGTAATGGTGATGATTATACTTAAGTAAATGATTAGTTGTGATGCTACAATCGATTGGTTGTTGGAAATGAATAGTGATAATAGATAATGATGGACGATGAAAATAATTATGAATAAATGAAACTGCTATTAAAATTTTGATCATTTGTACTTCAAGACTCATTAAGTTATTGTAACATTAAAATAATTTTATTTAACTTGAGTAATAATTAAGAAAAGAAAAGAATAATTAAGTAAATGAGATGGTCAAAAAAATAAAAAACATCGCCCACAGAAAAGAGAAGATCCGTAGAAGATTCCTTTGTCTTTTTGGATATACCGACGAGACAATTTTTCCTTTTGCTTAGCTGTCATCATTACTTTTTCAATTTACACGCCAACCACCTTCCCGATTACGTCAATCGCACTAACTTTTGCTTTATAAAAAATTGCAAACATATGCCAATATTTACCAAAATACCTACCTCCTCTTCCTATATAAACCCTCTTTTTTCCTTCGTTTAGATCTTCTTTCGCCCACAATTGGTTCTTCATTTGATTGGTATGTCTCAATTATTTTCTCCTCTATCTTATCTTTTCATTTTTTGTTTTCTTTTTAGTTTTTTTTTTTTTTTGAGTTTTTAATTTTTGCTTGCATGTGCTTTTAAATTTGATGATGAATTGGGGTTGTTTGGTAGGCGGACTAAATTATCTCGAGTTTATAATGAATTATAATTCCGGCCTAATTTATCCCACTTCCCAAATGGATATCCATGATTGGGTTGTATAAATTTAATTTCAAACTTAATAGTAGCCCTACCTTATCCAGCTTAGCGAAGAACTTTAGGGTTTTGTGTAGAACTAGTTTAATTATGAGTAATTCTGAATTTATTTAAGACATTCAGAGGATCGAGGATCTTAATTTAATTGTGATTGTGTTGGGTTGATTGATTTTTATACACCTGCATCGTTGAATTTGTTTTATTTTTTTTCTAATACTTTATGTTCTGTTTTGCGTCTTGCAGATTGATTTACGTTTGATTGCTGAAGGCACTGTTTGGATTTGGATTTATACAACAACCATTTAATTGTTACTAATTTGATATAATCGTTTATTGTTTCATTGATTGAGGTTTTTATAAACAGTTTCTCTATGTTAGTTTCAAATTCTTCATGATCCACCTGCGTCGAGTTCGCCTTATGCACTCTTTCTCCGTAGTCTTCCTGTACTGGTTCTATGTGTTTTCATGAATTAGCCCACCTCAAACCCTTGAACCCTCTTTCTGTTTGATTTAGAAATTAGAAGTACTAAATTCAGAAACCCAACAAGAAAAAAGTAGTTACCTCCCCTTTTTTGAATTCCTATTTTTGTCGAACAAACTTCCCATTGAACAAACGACACAAAGACATGGCTTCAACTCAGCAACCAGCTAGTTCGGGTTCTGATGGCCAGCGATATGCTACTAATGATGAGAGAAAACGAAAGAGAATGGAGTCTAACCGTGAATCTGCAAGGCGGTCACGAAAGAAGAAGCAGCAGCATTTGGAGGAGTTGATGAGCCAATTGACGCAGCTGCAGAATCAGAGCACCATCTGGCGTGAGAAGATTGAATCTGTTGGAAGAAACTTTCACACCCTCGATGCGGAGAACAATGTCTTGAGGGCTCAAATGGCTGAACTGACTGAACGCTTGGATTCGCTGAATTCCCTCACTCGTTTCTGGGCTGATGCTAATGGACTTGCTGTGGACATCCCTGAAATTCCTGACACTTTGCTTGAGCCCTGGCAGCTCCCTTACCCAATTCAACCGATTACTGCCTCTGCTGATATGTTTCAGTTTTGAGCAACCTCTTTGCATTATTGGACTACCATGATCCTAGCTCTCGGGTTCTTTCTTAACGGGGTGCTCCTTGTATCCTCTTGGATTCAATTTACATGCAACAGTTGCAGCGGAAGAGAACCTTGTCACTGGTTGCTGAAGTCTTCCGTTATGCAGTCACTACATTTTGTGTATCTGTAATGTGAGTTAGTAGCTTTTCTTGTGCTCGCTTTGTGTCAGTTTATGGCCCCATAGATTCTCTACTTCAATGTTTAGCTTTGATGGATTAGCAGTTTCTAGTACTTTGTCTATGATATTAGTCTCTAGTTTTATAAATAAAAATCTTAAGTTGTGTGAATGATGTGACCCTTTTTGTTTCTGCAAGATTGCTCTTTTCATTCAACTAGTTGTGAGTAATTGTGTTTCTTTTTGTCACAATATTTGTGGGAAGTGTTGATTGTTTGGATCTATTGAATGTTGAATGCTTAGAACACGGAGGTTACTCCAAAACTACCATAGTCCGTGGCTGCAGATTAACTTCGTTCATCCCAATCGACTATATGTACCAAAAACAAGAAGACAAACTCAACTCTTATACTGTTTCTTCAGAAAAGAATTTTCAACCAATGCGACTAGCCAATATTGCCAGCAGAAGTTGCGCATGTTTAGCTGAATGGATACAAAATTACCAACATGTATCTTCTGTTTCTTAAAGAAATAGGCTTGCCATTCGGTACATCGTATGCCCTGTGGCCTGAGGCAAACCATCATGTTAAGTTTTGTGCGAAGACAATCTTTTACCATGTCAAAGATCTGGGAAATATCCAGCGTCTCAGTGGAATATGTATCATCTACTAAAAAGTAGGAATTGTATGAAAACATTCTGCTAATTTTAGTGTTCATCAACTTCTTGGCTAACACATCCAATAATGAATGATTAGACGTTAGAAAGTGGAAGCCAACTGATCTTTTTCTTTTTCTTTCTCCATGGATTAGGTACGGGGGAGTTTGTCGAGAGTTGAAAATGTTGCCTCAAAAGGGATTTTGAGCATGAAAGTAGCTATTGAATACTATAGCTTTTTGATTTAAAGCTAAAAGTAAGATGGTATTGGTTGTAAAAGCACAAAAGATGATTCTCTACCTGTGTAAGTCTTAGTGGGTATAATTATGCGCTAAGATAATACCATTATTAGAAAAAGCATAAAACCTAGTAAGTTTCAATTTCTCATCACTAATTATTAGTCTCAATTACATTGATGAATGAACCAGAAGATACGAAAAAAAAATAGAAGATACAACTCATATTAGTTTAATAATTTATTGAATAAATTGTTTAATTGAAATTATGGGTTTGGATAGGTCATTATGTTACAAATAATGAATCAATTTCTTTGTTGTCCGCCATTTTTCTGATTTGTCTCTCCAAGTATTTAAAATTATCTCTTCGGACCATCTAAGAGCTACTAATAGGTTCAAGCAACAGAAAAAAGATTCTGCTTCACACAAAGCAGATCCCCTTTTAGGCAGGGGATGATCTAGAAGGGACGGAGGATGTTTACCTAAATCCTTTCGGAAAAAAATATATTGTATATACATAATATATTTTCTGTATTTATATACACATAAATTTTGACAAAAAAGGCTAGCTTAGCGGTTCATGACATTCAAAATCCACCCCAACGTCTGAGGTTTGATTCTAATTGTATTCCTGAATAAAAATTCTGGATCCGCTACCTTAAAGACAATATCAAAATGTTTGTATAGTATTTGAGAGAGGAAGAACCTTTCATTATACATATCAATAGCCTAATTCATAGCATTCAAGATTCAAATTGGGAACAAAATAAAGCATAATGCTTAAATAACACAAAACTAGTATCAACTATCATATGTACGGCACTCATCAGTCTCTGGATTTTCCTTGCAATAATTTTCCAAAACATCTTCCTGCTTCTTCTTGTCCCTTGCATGACTAGCCGCTGCACTTGCCTCTTCCACAACATCCCAAGCCGCCGCGCATTCTCCACTAGCTGGATTCTCATTGCACGCTTCCTCTGCCCCCTTAACACTATCAGCCACAAGGTCAGAAAGCTTGTTATCTGGTGTTGCTGCACACACAAGCCCAAATTTAGTTGATGATTTTTTCCATGGATTGTTAAGGCATGGGAACTTAAATGGCTTAGAATTGGGAGAGTTGGAATTTTTGGCCAAGAATTTTGGACTAGTGAGACTAACACCAGCAATTGTTGCCATTTTTGTGTGTGTGTGTGGTTACTCTGTTATGATATGTTTTACGTGTGTGATAAGGTTATGGTTATATAAGCAGAGGATGGAATGACTAATGAGCACACATTTCTTATCATTTTTATAACCAAAGAAAGATATGCACGTCTTGAAAGATAGTATTGTGGTAAAATATCTACTCTTAAGATCTTTTATGGTATAAAAATACAAAATCTAAAGCATCAAGCTTGATATTATTCCGTGTGTTAATTGAATTGTAGATGATGGTCCAGTTCAGCCATGGATTTTTTATTGTTCACAGAAATTCAAGGTTGATTGAATCAAACAATTAGGCTTAGTTAAGTTGAATATACAGTCCTTGTTAATCAGTTGTTCAAAATGAAGTACGAGCAAAAGGTTCAAGCACTAGAGTTCAACTTTTATCACTATTCACTACTAAAAAAACCATTGTTTTGTCGTTCAAAAATGTTCAACGGCTATTTCTACATATATTTTGATTGAATTGGTGAGGAAAACATTTGGAAAAATTACGAAGTTTCTCACTATTTCAGTGAGATTTTTTTTTTCACTCAATGAGCTGGTTCGGTGAAAAATGAGTGAGAAATTGAAAATTCACTGACTGGCGGTGAGAGAATTCTTTGTTTCTAGTAGTATATACATATTAATATATTTTTAAAAATTATAGTAATAACTTAAATTTAAAATAATTATATATAATTAATTGCTCATAATTATAATATATTAAAGTAAATTGATAATGTAAAGTTTCTTTATATTGTATAATAAGTTAAATCCGAGTGGTTATAACTAGCTCAAACTTCTGATATTTCAGCACTAAGAAGTCCAAAGTTTCGAAAAAATCAAAGGAGCTGCTTGTTTTTTTCTTATAGGGCACCACACACTTGTTATTCCATGTCATTCATGATGTCGACATAGGTACTTTAGGGAAATATAAATGACACGATCTATTCTTGTAATCACAGAAAAAAAGAAAAGGAAAAGGAAAAGAAAGAAATTAGTTTGCTACATGTGACGTTCTATGAAAATACAAATAGTTGAGTGACTTTCTAAAATAACAATTCATAGTTGAGTGACTTTCTAAGATAACTACACATAGTTGAGTGACTTTTGGGTTATAAAATAAAATTGAGTGAATTTCTAAGAAAACTATTCATATTTGAGTAACTTTTTGAGAAAGTTATTCATAGTTGAGGAATCATTTGAGATATTATCTCTTTAATTATTGGTCAGTTTTTAAGCATCATTTTAAGAAATAATCTAGCCAAGTTTTGGATGTTCTCCTAAATATCCATTAGCCTATTTTTTTATTTTTTTTATTGGTTCAGAGAATGAATGGGGATTGAAAAGAAAAAATATTAGACTTTCTTGGCTATTGTATTTTGGCTACCTCCCATAGAGACCGCCAAACGTAAAAACAAATGTCTCAATAGTGAATACATGAAGGAATTAAGAAAATACTTAATGAGTTCTTTTTTTGTTTTAATTTTTTATGTTCAATACGTAAGCAAAAAATAGTATCTTAAAAGCATACGTATATATATAATCCAAACAAATACTATAAAATGTGAGAATGAAAGGTAAAGTGTTTGGCTGGTGGGGATGGGGGCGTGTTGAAGTGTGGAGAGGCTACTGCCGATATATAATGATACTTGTAATACTTGATTTTCATTAGAAAAGTCATGTTCCTTATTTATAGAGAAAATATTTTACAAATTTTTTAACGAAACAAACATAAGAAAATTGGAAATACTCTGTACCGAACACACCGTAAGTGTTGTGAAAAAAAAGATAGAACTAGGATGAGGTATCTGTGGAAGGAGGAAACATGGAAATTCTAATTAAACATTGAAATGAATGTGCTTAATTTTGAACTCAAGTTTCCTGTTTCATTGGCATCTTTGCTTCCTTTCCTTTACCTGAACACTTTTACTTGCATTCCTTTTCCTTTAGGACAAATGATTTATGGATATTCCTTTCCCTCTAAGATCTATATCCAATTAACATCTTAAAACTGATAAATATATCTCTTCCCTGTTCCTCCTCGTACACAAAATTAATTAGGTCCTTGAGTTTTGAGACAACAAAAAAGTAGGACAAATTTCTGCAAAGATGAGGGCACAGTTGCTCTCTTTGACAGCAATTTTGGTTCTGAGTTTCATAGGTATATATCTACGTACACTCGCCTCCTAATTTATGAACTCGAATTCATATAGTTAACTCCAACTTGCTAGGAATTGAGACGTAATTATTGTTGTTAGCATAATCTTGTCAAATTTTCCTCTTGGTAGAGGCGGAGCTAGGGGGGTTTGTGTAGCTTTTTTGTAGACCCTATATTTGTACTAGAAAATTAATTACATGTATATATGTATATTAATTTGTGAATCCCTAACAAAATTGATTGATGATTCTAAAGGAAATTTAGAACCCCAAAATCTTAATCCTGGCTCCGCCTTTGCCTCTTGGTATTTATCTTTATGTTCTTGTGAGTTGATCATCAGCAAAGATGTTCTCATGTTTGTCTTCTGCAGCTGAAAAATGTAGACAATTAATCGGAGAAGAATCAGCTTCGAGAAGCAGGACAGAAAGATTCACATTCATTAACTGCTTCGACATGAGTTATGGAACCATAGGCTGCATACTCAAGGAATTGGTCAAGATTTATTTACACTACATTAGAGCAACTCATGTGCACAAGGTCAGAAATGAAGCAACTAAAGAAGCAGTTCAAGAAAGCTTGTCCAAAGGACTAAGTCTTGAAGATGCAGTGAAAACAGGGCAACAAGTTGGAAATGCTGTGGCAAAAAGAGCATCTTTACAAGCAAAACACATTATGGGGCCAATGGTGTCATCAGGATGGGACTTTTTTGAGACTATATATGTTGGTGGCACATTGTATGAGGCAATCATTAGGAGTGTTGGCACATTGTTGGGGTCATATATTGGAGGAATTATTGGGGAAGGGAAAACTAGATGGTTGGGTTTTCTTTTGGGAAGCCAATTTGGTAGTTGGATTGGTGGGAGGTTGGGTCTAATATTGTATGATGTGGGAAATGGGCTGCAGTTTCTACTTCAACTCACCAAGACTAATAAGAGTGATGGAGAAAGCAACTCACTCTTATTAATTTCTAGTTAGTGAAAGAAAGACCTTCCCTATGTAAATCTTAATATTCCTTTGATTATGTCAAGGTTTAAACTTGTTGTAAATCCATTACTTATAGTTATTTTTAAAAAAATGAGAAACTTACCTAAATCCCACTAGCTTAAGAGCTAGTTACTTAGATACATTCTAACTTGCAATATTACGTATTTTACCAAGTTTTGGTGCGTTCAGATACATGTATCTCAAAATACATAAAGTCAAAATTAGTGTAATTTGTTCTAGATACACTGTATTCAAGTGAATTTGCATGTACCTGGGATGCATAACAAATCTAGCTCGCCTCCATCCCATCTCGCTCGTCATTCTCCTATGTATTTGGTACCCCAGATACACGAGCATAACACCAGATACATACAAATACATGTATTTAGTGTGATTCGCATGTATTTAGGATACATAACAAATCTCCCTCGCCTCTCTCTATTTTAGTGTAGCTGGTAGAAAAAAATATATGTATCTAGGTGTATTTTCCTCAATATATGATAGAAAATCTTCATTAGTGATAAAATACATAATATTTTGAAAGTATAGGTAATCATAATATATATGATAGTGGAATATGTTTAATTAGGTAGTTTCTCTTTTAAAAATCGTGTTACATTGGAAAATCATGAAAGGGAAGACGTGAAAATCAAACTCACACTTATTAGACAAGAGACTTTCACTGATATCTCTAGATGTAAGCCTAGAACTCTTGTCAAAACTTTTATCTCCTCTCAATTGAGTTTTAGCCATTCTTTTTTGGTATAGACTATAGTCTATAGTGGCTAATGTCTAATTTTTTTTCACAATATAAAGGAATCTTGACTAACATTTACAAAATAGTGTTAAAAGAATTCGAATTTCAATACTACTTTTTTTCTTTTTAATTTTGAGTATTTCCACTCCCACTAAAAAATAAATATCTTGACAAAACAAGGCATCTCATGCCTTGTAGAATAAAAAAGGAAGGAAAAAACATCGACTTTGGAATCTGTCAAATGGATTTGATTGAATAATTGAAATGTATGAAGCGTTCGCCATGACCCTTCCCAAAGTCTATCATCGTTTCTCTTTACTCCCTCTACACTCTACTACTCCCTTTCTTCCCAAAACCCTCTTCTTCTCATCTTCTTCTCTCCCTCTCGCCGTCAAACGCCTCCATTCGCCGCCGTTGCTCCGTGCGCAATCTAGAAGATTCGTCGCCGGCAAGCAATTCAAGGCGAAATCCACTATGGCTTCCTCTAGATTTCACCATCTTGTCCCCGTCAACGCCCTTACTGCTGAGGACGGTGGAAATGGCACTGGCTCTAATGGCGCTGCTGATGCTACTGCTTCTGTTGCTTATGATGACGGTACTTTGGACTAACTCCTCTTTTTTTCCTTAGTGCTGCGAGTTAACCTTAATTCGTGATGCTAACTACTTTGGCTAAGCTAGTTATCTGTGTATAGATAATATTTGATTCAGATAACTATCACTTTGTCTTGAAATATAATTTTTATAGGACTGGAATGAAATGGAGCCTGAATAATCTGTTTGTAAATGATGTATTCCATTCTTCCGATGATAGATTAGGTTAAGTCCTTAACTTGATGGAGATTAGGAGGAGCTTTGATGAATAAAAGGAGAAGAGTTGGTAGAATTCTCATAGGTGATGTCAATGAATCCTGTTTTAGTAAAAAATGGATAAAGTAAGAGAACCGCTGCAGTACCGCTATTTAGCCGTTTAGTTGATATATTGGAGTTTAACTAGTTGTTTTCTATTAGAATAGAAATTCATAAATTTTTTTAGAGAAGTGTGGGATTTACGGTTTGTCTAGTTTGGTTTAAAAACCAATTCTCTTTTATTGGAATGGAAAGGATCTGATTGAGCGGAATCAATGAAAGGGGATTTGTGTAACCAATCTAACTGGTTTGGATTGTGGATTGTGGATTGTGGATTGTGGATTGTGGATTGTTGAATGTTGATTAATATCAACCACTTAATTCTTGAAGAATTTTATGGGATTTGGGTCTGATACTCTTTTGATTTTCATTCCTGCAAGTTGTTAGCATCTAAAAGTTCTTTCAATGTGCTACTGAAGAAATGATTTCCTTACATGCTAAAATGAGAAACACAGAGAAAGGAGAATCTTTGCCAAAGTACACATGCACTTATTCCAGATCTTAGGCCGTAAGGCAACTCGCATTTAAACGAACTCCTTAGTATGAAATGATGTGCTTTTTGGTCCTCATCTCTGAGGCAATTTAACTTCCTATTGAAGTAACATAGCTAAAGCCTCCTTCAGTGGATTTTATAAGCTGGAAAGCTTTGAATCATGGATGAAAATTATCCTCACTGTTTTAGTGCTTGAAGACAATAATAAAGTCATTCGCTTTTCTCCATGCCCATCCATTAAGCCTCTTCCTTTGCTTCATGTATTTTCTCTCCTATCACTGCACAAGCTTTATGTTTACATATGGGTATTTACCTTCTGTAGATTAAACTGGATAGGCTAATTATGTTTTTTTTTTTGGTTGGGGTGGGGTGTGTGGTAATGTATATTTCATAAGTTCATTTATTTTCCCATTCTTTTTATTGCCCTGGTTTCCATGTTTAGAGACTCTTTAACTCTTTTTTTTAACTTTCTTTGAATAGAATTAGCATAGTTCACAAATGGTGATTAAATCTTCTTGTTTTCTCATAAACTTTACCAGATGTAGAATCAGCATCAGTCACGGGATATCGTCTTCCTCCCTTTGAGATTAGAGATATTGTTGATGCTCCACCACTTCCAGCACTGTCATTCTCTCCATTAAGGGATAAAATACTGTTTCTTAAGCGGAGATCCTTGCCACCTTTGTCAGATTTAGCAAGACCCGAGGAGAAGCTTGCTGGAATCCGCATCGACGGGAAATGTAATACCAGGAGTCGCATGTGAGTAATGATGAAGCTTCTCATGATCTTTCCTTCAAGCACTCAAGTGCTGGAGACGCTATGTTAGGTTATTTTATTTCCTCTGGCTGTATAGTTGGTGTCTCTTATGTTCTTTACATAGATTAAGCTCTCCTTGCTGGTATAGTTCGTCTTCCTTCTTTTTTTTAAAATCTTAGAAAGAAGTGTTTTCTTGTTTTAAAAATAGTAAGATTGATGCCTTGATGGTTGTAGTACTTCAATCGTCAATAAGCAGCACCCGTACAAGATCTTATGATGTTCTTTCTCAGGTCTTTCTATACTGGTATAGCCATCCATCAGTTAATGGAAGATGGTAGCCTAGGACCGGAAAAAGAGATCCAGGGTCTCCCCGAAGGTGCTAAAATTAATTTCGTGACATGGTAATCTCTTTTCCTTGCATATTCTCCTTTATATATAGATGTTTTCTTCATATAGAAACCTAATTTACCTGTATATTTGGATCAATTATTATGATTTCTCTTCATCTGATTGTTTATTCGTTTATGAAGGTCAAACAATGGTCAGCATTTAGCCTTCAGTGTCCGCCTTGATGAGGTATTTTGATATATATGCAAAGCGTGTCTATGTGTATGTCTATAAAACTTGTATGTTGATGTTATGGAAAACTTAATCGTAGATTTTCCTTTAGCTGTTTCACTTTGTATAATTCTGACATTTTTATGCCTAATTTCACACAAGGTCCTTGTCCTTTGTCACAAGGTAGATCTGATTTTTGATTGTTGTATCAGGATGATGGCAGCAGCAGCAAACTGAGAGTATGGGTTGCTAATGTGGATACTGGGAAAGCCAGACCTCTTTTCAAGTCACCAGATGTATATGTAAATGCTGTTTTTGACAAGTATGTCATTTTCCATTCTGTCATTAAGAGGAAAGTTTGCTGATTCCATGCTACTATCCCCCCTGTACTGACAACTCTGTTTCTGTTATTCTCAGCTTTGTTTGGGTGAATGACTCAACTCTTTTGGTGTGTACCATCCCGTTATCTCGTGGAGATCCACCAAGGAAACCTTTGGTTCCCTCTGGCCCCAAGATTCAATCTAATGAGCAAAAGAATGTTATTCAAGCTAGAACTTATCAGGATCTGCTCAAAGATGAATATGATGAAGATCTGTTTGAGTATTATGCTACCACACAGCTGGTTTTGGCTTCTTTAGATGGGGAAATGAAGCTCTTTGGTCCACCAGCTATATACACTTCAATGGACCCCTCCCCAGACCAAACATACATTTTGATCTCCTCAACTCACAAGCCGTTTTCATTTGTTGTACCATGCGGAAGGTTTCCCAAAAAGGTTGAACTGTGGAAAGCCAATGGAGAATTTGTGAGAGAACTTTGTGATTTACCCCTTGCCGAAGATATTCCTATTGCATTCAATAGTGTGAGGAAAGGGATGCGATCAATCAATTGGAGAGCAGATAAACCGTCGACTCTCTATTGGTATGCATACAGAAATCTATTCTAGTATTATTTCTTTTGACTGAAAAATCCACTTGGAGCCAACCATTGTTCTTTTTGAAATTAATTTGGAGCCAACCACAATCTGTGATACTCGGGGATGTTTGACCCGCTCCTCTACTCAAATGCTGAACTTAGTATGTTTGTCCTGGGGTTGAACTTGTGATCTAAAACACAAGTCCCCCAACCTTTTCCAGTTTAGCTAACTCCTGAAGGCACTGGTTACCAAACCCTGCCTCGTTTCCCTGGTTTTGGGTGGAGTGGGGTTGAATAACAGTCTTATAACTTGTCCAGATTTTGTAACTGATTTTTAACTTCATATTATAGGCTTATGATTCCTCAGATCAGAAAAAACACACACATTATGTATATATGTTTTATTTTTGATGGAAATAAGCATAAAAGAAATATGGAATGATTACAGGTCTATAAAGAAGGGATAAGAAAGGTAGGTGTTCTCTCATGTGAATGACTTGTTTCTTTTATCCACTAATATCTCGATGCTAATACTAATCTAGTACTTATTACCCCTTTGAAGTGGCAATTTATGATAGTTGCACATTGAATTGTGGAATTGTCTGTATCATCGTTTATTTGATGCTTTATTGTCGGTATTGTCACTAATTTGATGTGTTTCTCCTGAAACTGTTT